GTAGTAAGGCCACAGGGCACTAAAGGAAGATGTGCTCTATCATCTCGGAGCGCTTTTTTTCGGGGTAGCACTGGAGGCATCTATGGCACCATGGGTGCCCGCCCATGTTGCTCCAAGTGGGTATGATCTATTAGCCAATCGTTGGTTGGTAGACACCGGTGTGCAATTTGCCACTGTAGGGCGGAGATTTTTGTGCCTCCTTCCATAGTCTCCAAACCACCTTATGGGTTTTAGCAGGCCACAGTCTATGTTGAGATGGCGATACCATCTGTCTTCTACTATATCCCGCAGTCTGCGTTTAGGTCTGAGCATTCGGTATACTGACTTGGTCTTTAGGCTAGCAAGTGTTAATGTTTGTGCCTTTCCCCCCCTTCTTGAGTTTGTCGGGTCGTTCCAGGACCAACGCCACTCATCGGGATCGAAAGGGAGATCCTCAATCAGGGTCTTTGGCCGGTAGGCCCTCCATCCTCTTCCCTCGTTGATTACTCTGACACGATATACTTGTTTTTTCTCCTTCCAGATAAAGGGTTGTCGGCTTCCTCGTAATTGATCATTCTCCTGGATGGAAAAGGCTTTGATCAACATTTGCGTTCTGTCTACTAGGTGTACTTGCCCTACCTGATTTGCGTGGTTAGGAAGTCCTACCTAGTCTCCTTCTTCCAAACAAGGGCCCTTCCGGAGGGTGATGTACCAATGGAGATGGAAGCTATCAATGAGTTCATTTAGTGCACCCTCAGTGAAGTGACAATACCGCATTCTTTCTGCACTCTTCCAATTCCTTGTACTCAAGTCCCAAAGGTCCCCCACCCTCCCGGCCCCGTGTTTCACCCAACCCTTCCATGGAGAGTCTGAACTACATCTCGTGCGACCGAAAGGATCTGTGATTAGTCTATTGCCAAACAGGGGTTGTCTGAAGATTTCCTCCCACCTTTCTGGTGCTGGGCGATGTGGAGGGGGGAGCTTCCTTCATGCTCGTAGGAGGCGTCGCCATTGCTCATCCGTGGGGTCCCCATTCATGTATTTCCTTGGTAGATTCCCCCTCCAGGTCAGTCTCAGGCGCAGCCATTGCTCATCTGTGGGGTCAGTCTCAGGTGCAGCCTCTGGAGCCAGGACTGCGATTTGTGCCAAGGCGAGGGGGACCCAGGGAGAGGATGATGAGAAGATGAGATGTTGGAGCCAGCGAAAGTTGAGGGGTTGGAACTGTGTAGAAGGATCCACAATTCCCAGCCCCCCTCCGACCTTTGGTTGAGTTACCGATTCTCACGCCACCCGACTAATAGCATGGGGGTTGTTGCTATCCCCTCGCCATAAAAAGGCCGCCAGCTGCCGTTTAAATGTCTTGAGCCCCCCAGAGCTCATGGGCCATAATATAGCTTCGTTTTTCAGGTTTTTTTTTTTTTTCCCCCTCCTGCGATAGAAGAATCTGGGCTCCATCCAGCGTCCTAGCTCAATTGTTTAGGCACGAGTGGCATTCAGGAGGTTGTGGGTTCAATCCTCACGGCCGCCTGTGGCACTCTTGGTGCCAACCAACTGAGATAGTGAGCTGGATCCTCCCAGTCGGTATCAGTAAGGTCTTCAGCCAACACGAGTGTGACTGCGCGTGTGAGTGGGTTGTGTGTGGTGTGTGGGAGAGTGTTGGCTTTGGACACTACCATCCAGAAGGCTGCCCATCCCCCACTTCATAAGACCTTTGCCAAGCTTACTGTCTAGAACATAAAGTATGCTACCCGAATGGCTGCGTCCCCGTGTTTGACGCGGTATAACAGCCTTCAGGGTCCCCTGTCTATGAAACATAGCGGTCATTGAGCGCGCATTTCCCCTTCAAAAATTGAACGGCTGAATGCGCGTTCAGTAAACGAGCACGGATGCGGAGTTTAATTCTGTGGTTGAGCCCCAAGAGCCGCGGGGGGGAGGGGGGCCCGCTGGGGAAGGGGTCCTGGGGGGTCTGTTAGGGGCGCTGGCACCCCCTGCCGCCCCCCCCCCAAAAAAAAAAAAAAAGTGAAAAAAAAATAAAGAGGGGAAAAAAAAAAAAAAAAAAAAAAAATCAAGAAAGGAAAACGAAAAAAAATGAAGAAAAATGCACACGCACAAGCACACACACACACACACACACACACGCTGCCCACTGCCTCCCGCTGCCTCCCCCAGCTCCCACTCCTGCTCACCCTCCCCAGCTGCTCCCACCTCCACCCTCTCTCTCTCTCTCTCTCTCTCTCTCTCTCTCTCTCTCTCTCTCTCTGTGTACCTCATGCGCACGCGCTCCCGCTCCCGCTCCTGCTGCCTCCCCTGCTCCCGCTCTGTTCCTGCTGCCTTCCCCGCTCCCGATCCCGCAGCCACCTGCTCCTGCTCCCACTCACGCTCACGCTCCCCCCTCTGCTCCCGCTTCTGCCCTCTCTGTCTCTTTCGCTCTCTCTCTCCTCTCTCTCATATGCACGTGTGTGTGTGTGTGTTGTCATATTCGCTATACACAACTCCACAAAAAAAAAAAAGAGGCATGGTTGTG